CCAACATTTATCTGTAAATATTTTCATATGTTGATATTAAAACTGTATTATAAAAATGTAAAATTACTCGCCATCACAAAACGACCTAGCACCAGTGCATGCATGGTTTCCTTTTAGCTTTTGTTCTTTCCCATTAGCCGCCATCTTTAATTTATTTCCGATTGTGTAGGGCGGTTTTTCTGGAGTGGAAAATAGTGCTAACCTGGTTTTGAACGTCAAAATCCGCCATTACCGCCAGCTGACCACGGGTCCAGGCTCCTTTCTCCTCAGGCTTTCGATCCGAGCGAACTCATTCCATTTCGAAATTCTATTGTATGTTTAGATGAATCCGGAATGGTCACAACTCGATCAGTTCGAGTTCATTCTATTTTCATTCGGATCGAAATTTAGTTTTAATCATGTAAACTCAAATTGAGTTTCATTCTGGAATAAAGTTGTGATTAATGACAAGCACTCCCTTGCGCCGTGCGTAGTATCTTCTGAAACTGAAGCTCATTAGCAACTAAGGCGGCTAAATATGGGCTAGAAAATGAGTCTTGAAGAAAAACATCAATTAGTTTCATGCAAGTGTTAAGCTGTATTAACGCGGGAGGAGCAGAAAAAAAGGGTTGCTATAATGTTTATGTTCGCCATCTTCAAATTTCAAAATTTCCGCAAAGTGTCAATCCTTGTGTTGGTTTCCCATGTAACCTGAATTGACATCACGTTTTGATAGGGATTGAAGAAGTCATTCCCGGATCATGTAAACACCCTAAATTTTGTATTAAGAGTTTTGTGTTAAAGAGTTTTGTGTTAAGTTTTGTGTTAAGAGTTTTGTGTTAAGAGCTTTGTCATTCTTTGAAAAAATCTGTTTTTTGTTTGTTTTTATTGAACATAAAAATAATAGTACAGCTAGAGTAAAAACTCGGCAGGGTGTGTGTGAAGTAAAAGTTTGAATTCAAGTAAACACCAAAGAACAACCTTTCAAAATAAGGCTTTACTCAACACTAAATAAAAGCTACAAAATGTCTCTTTATAAATAATTATCTTAAACTAGGCGCGGTTACTAAGGTGGGTGTAATAATCATGTAATGATTACTTCATGTAATAATCACTACAATCACCCTCTCCTATTTGAAATAACTATATAATCTAAATTAAATAATCTAAATAAGACTGGTCCTGCCCGATTGTCCTTTTTTTTTCATATCATGTATATGTCAGGCGGTCGGGTTGTTTCTTTCTCTCTGCGAGCGGCGTAACGGTAGTGTCTGTTGTGAAGACGACTGATCAGGTAGAGCGGGATCCTCTAGTAGTGAGTTCCCTTCTCTTTCCTTCTTTGGGGAACTATTATTTAGTTTCCTAGCGTCTTTTGTGGCCAAAGGAGGTTGACGTGGGTCGTCTACAGTATTATCTTTATAAGGCGATAGTGGTAGCGGTTTCTCGCATAACTTCTCTTTTTCCTCAGCTTGTGGAGCGAGGAACTTAGTGGCTACGGTATCTTCTCTTCCATCAGGAAATTTTACATGCGCATACTGAGGATTTGCTTCGATTAGCTCTACTTCATCGACAGATGGGTCATACTTAGATTGTTTTACTTGACGCTTCAACAGTACCAGTCCAGGTTTGGATAGCCACGTTGGTATGGAAGTTCCACTCGTCGATCTTCGTTGGTGGATAAAGAGGCGTTCATGCGGTGTTACATTAGTAGCGGTGCACAACAGAGATCTGATGGAATGAAGAGCATCATGCAAAACTTCTTGCCAGCAGCTGGTCGGTAGTCCTCGCGTCTTCATCGCGAGGGAAATAGTCTTCCATAGAGTGCCGTTCAAACGTTCTACTTGGCCGTTCCCTTCTGGGTTATATGGTGTGGTTCGGCTTGACGAGATTCCTTTCTGGAGGAGAAAGTCTTTAACTTTTGCACTCATAAAGCCAGAACCTCTATCCGAATGTATGTAAGCAGGCATACCGAAAATCGAAAACAATTCGCAGAGACAATTTATAATTGACTCCGCGCTAACGTCTTTACAAGCGAAAGCAAAAGGAAATCTTGAATATTCATCTATTATAGTAAGAAGAAACTTATTATGATTAGTCGTCGGCAATGGTCCTTTGAAGTCCAAACTAAGTCTCTCGAAGGGTTGAGTCGCTTTTACTAAATGGAAATTTTCTGTTTTGTAATATTGAGGCTTACTTTCCTGCATATCTTGCAGGACTGTGTCATGAGCTTAATTTCATCCATAGAGAAAGGGAGATTACGGTTTTTTACAAAATGTGCCATCCGCGTTATTCCTGGGTGACACAAGGATTCATGAAGCTCTATCAGCTTATCGGAGGTCATGCTCATTGCTCTTATCCTAGAAAATGTATCCGCTGGTACATTCTCTTCTCCTGCTCTGTAGATTATATCAAAATCATAAGTGGATAGTTCCATCCTCCATCTCATTATCTTATCGTTCTTAATTTTGCTCTTTTGCTTGGTGTCAAACATGTAAGCTACTGACTTCTGATCAGTAATTAACATAAAATGCTTACCCGTAAGGTAGTGTCTCCACTTCCTCACGGCTTCTACGATAGCCGCTGCTTCTTTCTCCACTGAAGCGTGCTTAAGTTCTGATCCGCTTAACGTCCTCGAAAAGAACGCAACTGGGCGACCGTTTTGGTTGAGAGTGGCTGAAAGAGCAAACTCGGAAGCGTCTGTTTCCACCTGAAAGGGCTGTGCTTCGTCAACAGCTTGGACCACAGATTTTTCGACATCGGACTTAAGTAGATTAAACGAAGTAAGAGCATCGCCTACCATTGGAAATACAGTATTCTGTGTCAGTGGTCTTACTTTTGCTGCAAAGTCTTTGATCCATTGAGAATAGTAGGAAAAGAGACCCACAATCCGTTTCTGTTCTTTTAAATCACGGGGGACAGGTAACTCTCGCAGAGGTCTCAATCGTGCCGGGTCCGGCTTTATTTCTCCATTAGCGATTATACTACCGAGGATGCAAATACTGGTTGTTGAGAAGGAGCATTTGTCTTGATTAAACGTCAAATTTCGCTTTCTAGCTGCTTGAAGGAACTTTTGAGATTTATGTCATGCTGGGCTTGGTCCCGGCCACAAATCGTGATGTTGTCAAGATACACAAACGTGTCTTCTAGACATTCTTTAGCGATAAAGTTGTCCATCATTCTTTGGAAAGCTGCTGCTCCATTCGTTACTCCAAATGGTACTCGACGGAATTGGTACAAACGCTGGTTAGCTTCGAAAGCAGTATATTTCTTTTCTTCTTTTTGAATTGGGACTTGATGATACGCACTTTTCAAATCAACGGTGCTGAAAACTTTGTACTGAGCGATTTTAGAGACGATATCATCTATTCTAGGCAAAGGATAAGCATTCAGGTGTGTGAATCTATTTATAGTTTGAGTAGTCAATCACTAATCTTTTTTTTTGTCGATCGTTTCTAGTTACGACCACTTGTGCTCTCCACGGTGATTCACTCGGTTCAATTATACCTTCATCTAGAAGCCTTTGTACTTCAGTTGTAATAAATTCTTTGTCTTCTCGGCTATATTTCCTTGATTTAATAGCTATCGGTTTACAACCCTCTGTTAAATGTTGGAACAAAGTGGGGGTCTAGGTTCAAAGCTGTTAAACTGCAAAGTTTCAAAGGAGGGGCAGAACCCCCGTACTGGATAGTGACACTTTCGTGCTGGGCTTGCCAAGTTTGCCCTAGAATAACATGAGTACACAAGATTGGGCAGAATATATAGCTTAACCTGAGAATACAACCGGCCTTTTAACGTGATATCACTAAGACAATATCCTTGCATTTTGTGGAATAATTACATGTAGCCATCGTAACTTTTCTTTGGTCTGATGAACTGTCAATGAAAGTTGCTCAACCAAATCAGGATGTATGAAGCAATGAGTACTTCCTGAATCTACCAGAGCTGTAACAGTTCTTTCTTTTAAACGAATGTCAATACATGAACTTAGCAATGACTCCCCCATTGCAGCTAGAGTTATGTGAGCTGATTGCGTTAAATTAGAGACTACTGCTGAAGAACGGCAAACTCTTTGGTAGTGCCCTCTTTTTTTACATTTATTACAAATAGCTTCTTTCGCAGGGCATAATGACCGGGGGTGTTGCTTATTACCACAAAGAAGCACTTAGCGGAACGTGAAGTGGAGGCTAAATACCTCTCGCTTAGTCCTTCTTCATTATTTTCGTCATGTCCGTTAGATGCCGTAACAGCAGCGCTTGTGAAGGGATTCAATTGTATGTCTCCGATGATTTTGTGCCAAATCCCAAGCTCGAGCTTGATCAACTGCCGTTTGTAAATCCAACTGTTTATTCTCCAGTAAACGTTGTCGAATGCTTCCGACAATAGACCACTAATGAAAGCATCCCGAATTGCTTCATCCCGATATTGAGCAGCAGAGACTTGACGAAAATTGCAGTCTTTACTTAGGTGTTTCAGTTCTTGTAGGTATTCGTCAAGGGTTTCGCCTGCTTGTTGTTTACGTGTTGCTAATTTATGCCGAGCAAAATCTCGTTCGGAGGCTTGACATATAAGGTTTTCAGCGTAGTGATGGCTTCATCGTAGGTTTCAGTCTCACAGAACAGTTGATAAACATCAGAGGTGACATAATTCGCCAGAATGTGTAGTTTATTTATTCGGGTATCAGGAATGGACGGTATTGCATCGATGAAGTTCTCAAATGTCGCGAGCCAGTGCGTCCAGCGTTTTGCAGCGCCTTGCGCGTTCGGAATAACATCAAACCGTTCAGGTCTCAAAACTTTATCCATAGGTATAAGAAGAGTGTTGAAGTATTTTTCTGTATTTTTCTAATCTGTAGTCATATTGTATTATATTCATTAATTTTTTGTTATCAACTATCCTCTCTAACACTCTTGCTAGAACTGTTTGTTGAACAGGTGGTTTATGATGTAGTGGTCGCTTTTAGTTCTTTTAACAAACTGTACAGTCGCTATCCAATTTCTCATTGTAATAGTCTATCTTTAACTACTTTTATGTATTTTATTATCCACTTTCACTTCTAAATTTAATTTTTTTCCTTCAATTTCAGAATTGCAACTACAAGAATGGAAATATAATGATCCATCGATAAAACACAAAGAATTATTTTTAAGAATGATTGAGTATGGGCGAGATCCTAATGTGAACGTTAAACTTTTAAACGATGTTCGAGTAATATTCTCAGATGAATTTTGCATTGGCAAAGGAAGTGATGGAACCCGTGTTTATCTTGGACTGAGCAAGGATGGTTACGGGAAAGCTGTGAAACGAATACTTCAGTACAACTTTATCGATTTTGCAAAGAAAGAAATGAAAATTTTTAATGAAATTAAAGAAAAGAATTCGACTTATCTGGTGAATTATTCCTACTTCATAAAAGACACTGAAACAGAATGGGTCTATTTGATACTTGACCTATGTGAAGAATCGTTGGAGAGTTTTGTGCATTCTTCTACTATGGAGGATCTTCAAAATTCTCTTCCCAAAATTCTCAGACATATTTTAACAGGATTAGCTGATCTTCACCGCGAGCCAAGTTCTATTCTTCACAGGAATTTGAAGCCTTCCAATGTTCTCTACAACGCAAAAGGAGAATTTCTGATAGCTGACTTTGGTTTAAGCCGAATAATGAAGAATGACGGTACGACACATGCAAGCATTGGTAATAGGGGAACTCCGTATTGGATTGCTCCTGAATCATATTGTAAAGATGATGAGTCGTTTGACCAATCAAGTTACAAAAGAGAGTCGGATGTAATGGTAGGTATAAAAATGTAACCATGTGTTAAATAAAGTTGAATTTTTATTCACACTGTTTTTATTGATTTTAGAACGCAGGACTCGTTGCTTATTATGTTGCTACAAAAGGTAAACATCCTTTTGGATCTGACGAGTGTAGATTGCTAAACTTGTTTCGTGGAAATCCTGTTGGATTGAAGGAAATCAAGGATGTTCAACTTAAACATCTTCTTTCATGGATGCTACAGCTAAATCCCAAACTCAGACCATCAGCAAACGAGGCGCTTAAACACCCTTTTGTACTATCTGATAAAGAGAAGTTTGATATGCTGTGTGACCTGGGTAACCAACCAATGACAAAAATATCGCGTTTACTTCATCCTCCTAATTCAGGTGGCCATATGCAGTTGAATCGTCAAATAAGTTGGAAAGATTGTATTAACCCTGAAGTCTTAAAGCTTTTCAATGAACGACACTACGACTTTACATGGTTAGGTTGTGTAGATTTTTACTAAACTTTCACCAGCATCGGCACGATAAACCTCCTACAACTGCTTCAAAGCAATGGTAACTATGAAGAGTATTTTCTGCATGTTTTCCCTAAGCTTCCTCTTCTTGTACATAGTATCATGAGGCTAATTGAAGGGAAATCAATTCCAGATCTCGAAGAACATTTAACCAGTAAGTTACTATCAAAGAAATACTTTTTACCACAGTAAATTTACCAGAAATAAAAATGTACAATATCATATCACGGGTATTGGAATTTGGAAATGATGGTTAAAATGGACAATACTAAATCCTTTCTGAAAATATTAGATCATAAATTTGAGCCATGCATTATGGTTTCCTTGAAGTTTAAAATTGATGTTTGAAGTTTAAATTGAAGTTTAAAATTGATGATTTCTTTTTATAGTGCATGGTCTCTTATCTGTGATCTAATTTCACTAATAAAAAGTGAATACATAACAGATTGCTGGACAGGCGAGCATCGAATTTCTTAAGGCTGAAACACACTAGGCAGTCGCTTTAGTCGCGCGTCTAAAACTACCGCTTTGCGTGGTTACTAAGCTAGTAGCGTAGTCGCGTCAGCTAGTCGCTTTGAAAGCTCAACATGTTGAACTTTTGACTTTGGTCGCTTCAGTCGCTTTACACTGATTGGCCAATAGATACATTTTAACTTCCTAAATGCATATCATATTTCCTGTCATAAGCATCATACGAAATTTATAGATTATACCTTTGAAAAAGAAGGCAATATATAGTGAATTCACACTGGAATCTTTCAGTTTTTATATGACTTATCAAATAGGGACAATAGGAGCTACAAACTGGAACCCTAATGCAAAACCTAAATGCACAGAATATGATTATCCACAATATACGAGTGATCATATTGGCGTGTTTTAACTGGCTTGTTCTCTTTTCTCCACATAGTAGTTTGTACTGAGTAAATATTCATATATTAGTAACTATAATAAAGGCCAAAATAAAAAGATTAAGTGATATCTGTGTCTGTAACAAACTAAAATTACCGCCATGTTCAATAGACGCCACGGTAAAAGTCGCGATGGTCGCTGCATGTGTGTTTCTAGCGTTCAAGCGACTGACGCGTGCGCATCAAGACGCGCGACTGAAGCGACTGCCCAGTGTGTTTCAGCCTTTATAAGTACTGAGAGTCAAGAGTAAAAGTTCAGATTTGAAATAAATTTGTTCTGTTGTATTTGTGACTTGATTAGATAGCTGTACACATGATAAACATGTTCTTCACGTTTTTTACACTCAAAAGCAGCAAATACTAGGTGTAATTATATACAACTTTATTTCACAATAAAAAGTACATGTTATGGTATCTGCTTATACCTTTATACTGCTGTCCAATCAATTGCATAAATCAGAAATATATGATAAGTAATTGCCACCATCCGAATTTTGTGTGTGATGGAAACTTTCAACTACTTCCAATTGTTTGAATGTTTTCATCATTAATGTCTAATTTATTTTATATTATTTTAAGACACGCAGTTGCAAGAGTGGAAACACATTGATGCATCAACAAAGCACAAAGAAATGTTGTTAAAGTTAATTGAGTGTGTGCACCACCCTGATAACAAGGTTGAAAATTTGAACAATGTACGGGTAATTTTCTCAGACGAATTTCTCATTGGCAAAGGAAACGATGGAACCCGTGTTTATGTTGGACTGGGAATGGATGGCTGTGAAAAAGCAGTGAAACGAATTCGTCAAGATAGCTGCATTAAAATAGCAGAGAATGAAAAGAAAATTTTGAATGAGGGAAACGCAAAGTACTCGCAATATGTTGTGAATTATTCCTTCTACGATGAAAACCTTGGAACAGAATATGTCTATTTGATACTCGACTTGTGTGAAGAGTCGTTGAAGGAATATGTGGAATCAAATTCAAATAGTTTGGATTACCTTCAAAAATTACTTCCCGACATTCTTAAACAAATTTTAAAAGGATTAGCTGACCTTCATAGAGGTCCGCGTCCAATTCTTCATCGTGATTTGAAACCTTCCAATGTTCTACGAAACGCACAAGGAAAATTTCAGATAGCCGACTTTGGTATCAGTCGAGTATTGAAGAATGGCTTTATGACACATGTAAGTGATGCTACTAAGGGAACTCAGGATTGGATGGCTCCTGAATCGTTCGTTGTTAATGAAGAGTCATTTGATAAAGCACGATACAAACCAGAATCTGATGTAATGGTGGGTGTAAAAATATAACCATTTGCAAATTACTTCCAAATTTTTTAGAAATCATTTGTTGACACTGTTATGTTTTTATATATTTTAGAATGCAGGAATGGTGGCTTATTATGTTGCAACAAAAGGGAAACATCCTTTTGGACCTCTAAAGTATAGACTGAAAAATTTGCTAGATGGAAACCCTGTTGGATTGATGGAAATCGATGATGTTGTACTTAAAGATCTTCTTTCATGGATGCTACAACATTCACCAGAAGACAGGCCATCTGCCAAAAAGGCGTTAAAACACCCTTATCTACTATCCGATGAAGAGAAGTTTAGTATGCTGTGTGATATGGGGAACCAACCGGAAATGAAAAAATCAGAAGTTACAAGCTCTCTAAATTTAGATGTTATTGCGCAATTGTATGCTCCCAAGGAATGGATGACGCGTATCGATGATAAAGTCTTGAAAGATTTCAAAATTTTAAAAAATAATGGCAAACAGAAATCTCTGACTTACGAGCCTACATGGGCAGGGTGTTTAAGATTCATAAGAAACGTGAATGAGCATTGGAACGATAAACCTCGTACACATCTGTTGCGTTATGTCAAGGAAGGCAAATATGTAGACTATTTCTTGCAATGTTTTCCTGAATTGCCTCTTCTGGTGCACAAAATCATAAGGTCGACTGACTGGAAAACAAGAGCTGATCTTCAGGAACATTTTACAGCTTAGTCATACCAACAATTTTTTATGTTAAACGATATAACCAAATTAGGATTCTGTGACACTATGCATGATCATATTTACAGTTGTAAGGTTTTACTTTGCATTGTCATTAGAAAACATCGGTTGCATTAGATAAATGTTTGTTTCACGATCTATGCGCAAATATATGATGATTTTCTTTCATATTCTTATCAAAAGGTGTTAAAAGTCCGAATGATACAACTATCCTATAATTCAAATTCGAAATGGCACTGTCTATTCTTGTTTAATAAAACCTGGCATGTTCTTTACTGAGGTGAAAGAGTTTATGTGTTTTACGCTATCTTTTATTTGTTTCAGAGTCAAGTTCATTTTCGTATACCTGTCTTGAAGAACCAAGAAGCAGTGCATCAACATTCAAAGGTATATCTAATGTGGTGGGATTTTTATTAGTGAGAAATTCATTAATTGAAATAATTATAATAAATTATGTATAAGCAGTGCTGAGGAATGTAGCTGAGGAATGTAGCTAAGAATTGCACGAAATATTTTCATGAGTGAATAATGATAACTTTAACCTTTTAGTTGAAGAAAAGAGAAAAACTTCTCTTCTGAGTGCCAAGTTACCTTCAAAAATTGGTAAATTTGATATTTTTTGTTTGAGAGATTCAAAGTCCAGTGTCATTGTTTCGTATTAAATTTTGTAGATGAACTTTCCAGTGGCAGCACAGCAAAAATTTTGAATTCATCTACTTCTCTTAGTTTCAAGCCATCTTCAAAAACTGGTAAATTTGATAGTTTTGTTTTAGGAGATTCTAAGTCCAGTGACATTCATTTTGTGTAATATTTTGTAGATGAACCTTCCACTCCCAACACAGTCGAATTTAAAGAACGTTTTCTCACAAAGGATCACAAAATTAACGATAGCGTCCATGAAAATTTGAAAAGGTAAATGTTTTTTATCGCTTTTACGTCAATTTTGACTTATTTGACACGAGGAAAGAGCATTGAATATCTTCACTTTTCCACATTTGCAGTTTTCCTTGGCTTTGTGGCAAGTATGGTATAGCACGTCCTACTGATGAGATGAATTATCGTCACATGTTTCTTGAAGTTTACGAATCAAAGACTGAGGATGTTTTAAAGCAAGAAATCGATAATAAATTTGAATGGAAAGCTTCAGATTACATCGAATTACGTTATGTTGACCCACGTAAGAAAATAGAAATCCAACAGCTATCCAACAATGTTATGGTAAGTCGAGATAATGAGCCCAATAGATCAATGTATGGCGCGTTGACTTTGTTCTGCTGTAAGATGAACAGCATTACGCGTTGACTTGCGCTCATGTTGGTTACTTAAAAAGTATTCCCAAAAGGCAAAAGCGTGATTTATACTGTTGGGAGTGAAATCATGTGAAAAGTAAATAGCTTTTGGTATGTAAGAGGAAACGAAAACTTCACTCACCTGGCGAGATATATTTTTTTCTTGAGCAACATAAACAACTGCAGCAACACATTATTGACATATACCATGCTCTAGCAGGATTTTCACACATCCAAACAGGTAGAACCAATCTCTTATAATGCTAGAGAAGCATAATTATTGATATAGATTTATACATTATATTTGCTTATTTGATTGTTCAAATTGGACAGTATATGGTTGAATTTTCAACTTTTGTATTGGATATATTGCCTGCACGGATATAAATGCTGATTCCCTGTTATTATTGCAAAAATTTTCGTTAGGCTGATTGAAAGAAGACGGAGGACTAGCAAATTAAGTGTCAAGGAAAATTTAAAAGTGGTTGGTTTACCTTTGGAGAAGCAATACATATATTCAAAAGCGGTAGATATTCTGACGATAGTTCATAAACGCTACCTTCTACGGAACATTCAGGATCTTGGACTACGTTTGGAAAGCCCATGTCACTACCAAATGCACCTAAGAGTTAATGGCAATAAAACTAATTTTGAAAACTCTCTTAAAGACACTGCTTCTGTTATTTCTGACCTCGTTTATTAAAAACAAGTCTATAGCCAAATAGCAATCCCCAAAGACGTGATCTTATTTTGCACCGTAGTTGTATAGACAACCTAAATGCAAGCCCCAAATT